CCGTGCTCCTAAATGTTACAAAAACTCAGCGGCACCATCCCGCCTGCTAGCAGGTATGATAGCGATGCTGCCAGAAAAAGGAGGAGGAGGAGAAGCAAGAGCCGGTTTGCCCAAAACTCACAAGACATAAACCTGAAAGGCATGCTGGGAATGAAGTAAACAAAAGTATACACACGACATACACGGTCATGATTGACACTGTATTTAGTGACACAAACAAATATATAAACGAAATGACTAGAGTCCATGGTCACGTAACAAAAACGGGAGCAAAATCAAAGACGAAATAACAAATACAAGGCGAGACGCTGGAAGGCAAAAACGACAATGACGAGATCAAGCGGTCTAGAAAACAACACTTGAGCAAGAGCAGCAACAAGGTAAATAATCCAACAGAGACATGGAATCTTGGCCATCATTAATTACCTGGTTAACTTGATGACCAAATTGGCAGCAGGTGTGCACGCTGGAGGGAAGGCCCTCCTCTGCCACCTGCTGGAGACACACAAGAAGAGGATCATGACACTACCAGGGGGCTAAATAGGATCACACACTTCCTAACCAGATTTATGACAAAAAATATTATTATAAAGATTTGATCAGATCGTTGCATTTTTTTCTTTTAATTCGTCACCTTTTGGATTTTCCCAATTTTTATTGGGTGGAGGTATGAATGGATTGGATAGCAAATGGCCTTTGAAGATAAGATCCAAACTGTAACAGACACCAGTGTAAAGGTTCATCCTGTGTGGAGTTTGTATGTTCTCCCCATGCTTAGGCGGGTTGATTGAACCCTCTAAATTGCCGTCGTTTGTCTATGTGTGCCCTGAAATTGGCTGGCAAACCGCCTACTGCTGCAAGTTACCTGGGTTAGGCTCCAGAACACACGAAACCCTTTTGAGGATAAGCAGATGGCTGTTTCAGTTCGGATGCGCCAATTTTGCACATTCTCTGTGTGGCCTATAAAAGCTGGAGTCACTTCCCAGTTGATTCATTACTAATAGCACCCTCTGCAGGATACGCTGATGCAAAAACTCTCAATGTGGTTCAACTGTTTGTGGGAGGATAGCTTCCAGAAGCAAAGTTGCCATTCCAGAAGCATCTCTTTGACCTGCTCTGGTTTAACTTTGACCCCTTCTTATCCCCGGTTACAAACTAATGAGTACAAACGAGATAAGTTCCTCCTCCTCCTCATCCACTAGAAGAAGAAGTGTGGTAGAGTGTCCATGAGGGAGTCAGGAATGTGTTGAATCCTTGTATGGTCATAAGCAAGGAGCACTGACTTGGCTCTCTCCAAGCTGCTGTGTAACATTGTTCTCACAAAAATGGAGGATGACCGCGCCCAACACACATTTGTCTCTGAGCAGAACATTTCGGCATGGCAACACGCAACAACCAGAAAACAACCAACCACCTGACTAGCTGACTAACTGACCCACTAATTATCAACTAACCAAGACTAACGTACTAATTGACAACAAACTGACCAAGTAAATTACTAAATAACTAACTTATTAACCGCATGAAGTACTTACTGACGAACAGACATGCTGACCAAGTAACTGACTTTTGTCTGGCCCGCTAACTGAACTTACTGACCAACTGACCAACGAACTGATTGAGTGGCCAACTAACTAACAAACTAAACAAAGTTATCAACTGACCAGCCAACGAAATGACTTACTGACTAATGGTCTTAACAACCAACTGACTAGTTGACTGACTAAATAACTAATCCAAACATCAACCTATTTACGATCCGAGTTATTGATTAATTAACTGCATGATGATCGAATAACAGAACCGACTAACTAAAAACCCGACTGACTGACAAATGATATGCAATAATTAACTGACTGCGCTATCTGACTAAGACTTTTTAATTTACTAACCCATCCGCCAACTCAGTTGAATTAACTGATTCTCCAACTAATTTACTAATCAACAGACCAAATAAATGACTGACTAACTAACTGAAACAAGTTAGTGACCGACCAGCCGACTAACTGACCAACACACCGAATAGCTGACGAGTTAAGTAATTGACTGACAAACTAACAAACGAACCACTGAACTGGCTGAGTTACTATCATGGTGTAAATGTCTTGAGTTCAAGATTATGTTTTCCAAAATCTTCTTATGAACATTTCCAGTCCACCTTCCGCACTCGCTCACAAATTACGTCAGTGGATGACGGCACCTTGTGACCTGCCGCTCATCTGACTACTTTTGACCTCACCACCAATGACAAAATACACACCTCCACGGACCACCCCTCACACGGAGGTGACACACACATGCTATATTCATGTAGCATTATCGCTGTGTTGTTTTTTGTGGAAAATTGCCATCGGTAAGAAAGGGATGAATGCCTCTGGCCTTTCGTGCTTGGCAAAGGTAATGAGTCAGCTGCATTGTATTTTCACAACACAATGGAAGCACTCATCAAACTCCAGCTGCTCACTGGTGTTGCCGTGAGGGAGAAACGTGCGCCCACATTTTTACACATGTCGGCGAAGGTCCACAAATGCATCGTTTGATTGTTGGGAGTGTGGAGCTATGGAATACTGCTGCACCCTTTTTCCGACTTTCCATGTTTGCCAGCGGAGCGCACACAATAGCAGGAAGGGGAAATTTCGTGGGAAGCGTGTGTGTGTGTGTGTGTGTGTGTGTGTGTGTGTGTGTGTGTGTGTTACAGTACAATCAAGCAGCACCACAACCTGGCCTAACAACATTCTTAATATTTTTTGCATGTAAAGTATCAACTTTTTAATAAATAAAACATACCAGATTTTGTTCACATATTGTGGCCTGATTTACAGTATTCTGAGGATTTTTTAAATGACTTTTTCTACATTTCAATTTCGTGTGTTTTTTTATATTTAGGGGAAATGACAGGGACAGAGACAGAGCACATTATAAAATATATATAAATTAAAAAAAAAATAATATATATATATATATATATATATATATATGTGTGTGTGTGTGTGTGTGTGTATTCATCATCAGTGCAGTTTAATATTGTTCAGGAGTCATTCACCTACTGATGAGGCAACATTAGAAGCAAATGGAGAGGGTTGGGAGACGTCCACTGCAACACTATTAAACCATTTCGTTCAAAAATACTGCCCCGTGTGAGGCTCGAACTCACGACCTTCAGATTATGAGACTGACGCGCTGCCTACTGCGCCAACGAGGCCTGTGAATATCGCGTTCTATTATCAGTCAGGCAATTGTCAAAGTAATCTATTTGCAAGCGAGTCCAATCTGAAGTCTGATTTCTTCAGAGGAATTTTGAAAATGAAAGTAGCCACAACCTTTTATGTTCCACTTATTCTCTGCCTGACAAAATTTACTTTTCACTAGTAAAGAGATAAATGAAAAGAAAAACAGATAACTACAAGGAAAAAACCGAGATAAACATAAAAAAAACATATATAAAAGTAAAAAAAAAAATTGAGATAATATGCACGTGTGAACCCAAAACGTCCCTGGGTGGGCTCGAACCACCAACCTTTCGGTTAACAGCCGAACGCGCTAACCGATTGCGCCACAGAGACGACGGGTGACTCGCTGACACTTCGAGTTACGTGCTTACGTTTAATAGTACAGGGACCAATGGCGACGACACTTGAGCTTGTCATGACACGGAGGGAGCGAGCAGTCAGTCAACAAAGCCAAAGGACGAGCATCCAACGCTTCTCTGTCGACCGATCCAATCACAACGATGAGTTTCAATCCACCGTCAAAACATCACTTAGAAAATGTGGCCAACCTCGAGCACAACACTACTGCCAGTGATTCACACATGCAGATTCGTCATGGAAATCTGAGGGAAGGTGGTTTTGATAGGAACAAGTTAGTCGGTTCACATTTGTTCAACAGGTGCGCTGGCATCAAATCTGAACATTATAAAACTTTCCAAAGTTTATTTACGAGTTCAGCGTTTGGGCTGCAAGAACAAACGAAAGGGGAAGATTTGTGTTTTTGAGGCGGACGCTGATTTGCATCATGCAAATTCTCGCCACCAGAGTTAAAATTTCACAATCAAGAGCAGCTCGATGCAAAACGAAAAACCAAGCATGACGCCACGTTTGGAAAAGGCAAAAAGAAAAAAAAACAGACGAATGCATGAAAAAAGTGGCTTTTTGTGAGAGAATTATCGTGTTTGAATGGAATTTTCTAAATTAAAAAAATGTAAGTTTTAGGGAAAAACGTCAACATTTTGACAGGCTCAGAAATGTTGAAAGGGAAACATCACATTTTGTGGTCTGATTTATCTTGAGGAATGATTTTATATTCAATTATTTGTCTATTTTATTTTGATGGAAAAGGTAACTTTTCATTCATCTTTGGGGGATAAAAATATATCTTAAATTATGTAATCTTTTTGTGGCCTAATTTATTTTCCGTGATTTTGATTGGTTCCCGCTCAATGATGGTGTGGGTGTGTATGGTTGTTTGTCTCTATATGTACCCCGTGACTAAGTCTTTAACTGTTGTTTTTATTTAGATATTTAAATGTGTTTGTAAATTTGTTTCTGTACAGACCCACGATTTATGTATTGAATATCATGAGGTAGTGCACCCAATGAAGTGACCAGTGTGCGAAAGTAAAAAGGGAGTGAAGCTGCGACGCGGCTACGTGTCAATCTCAACTTGACCACGCCCAACAACCCAAACCCTTCCCTGCTTTGACCTCGCGTCGTTTTCAATTTCTGAAGTTCTCTTTGCTTCTTGCGTACACTGGCGTTCCCTGCAGGCCACAGCAGCAATTGCAGAGTCATTACGGTGGTTGACAGAGTGGTCGTCTCATCAAGCCTGAATGAAGAGGAAGTAGCCATGCCGCCATTGGAGACAATGGCGTTCCTTGGGTGATGACGCTTCCTGGAATTGTCAGTAGTTTCCAACCCCAGAAGAGTAAAAACATGAAAGCTAGTTTACGCCTTTTTCCCATCACGCGTACATACCTTGTGTGACAAATAAAAAGGCAAACATATCAACTGACCGTCTTTAATGTTGCAAATTAATATTTCTTAACATGTACAGGAGATTCCAGATGACATGCTTGTCCTTGATATGGAACCAAAAATGACCGCTTCAAACAAAAATCGCAGACTTCTTGGGCATGGCTTCTTCAGACTTTTTGGTAGACATGCCAACCAAAATTCACATTCCTAAGTGACATTGGCTTCAGGGTATGAATTTTCACCAAATTGCAAAATGTGCTACCAAACTGAAGGGAGTCATCAAACTTTGCCGCCATGATACAGTCACACGAAAAAATAGAAATTCTCAATTTATTGTCACCCATCTATTGGGGAAACCTTGTTCTAATGTGAATAATAAAAAAAAGTATACATTAAGAACATCTTTCAAGCCCCACTGGAAATTCCCCTAAAATGGCCACTTCAAATCAAAATGGCAGATCTCTTTTCGGGCCCAGCTTCTTGGGAAATTTTTGTGGGTCTACTCATGACAGATATGCCAATCTGTCTTTGGGGTCTACATTTTTCAAATATTGAAGGGAGCACTTTTTAGCTGACATGTTTATGAACGGAAATAACTCCTAGAATGGTTGATTGTAAACCTTGGCTTCTGGAGATTTTTTGTGGGTCGACTCATGACAGAAATGCCTTCCAAATTTCATGTTGCTGTGTGGAACTGGTTTCTGTGGCTGAATTTTCAAAACATTTGAGGGAGCGCTCCTAAGCTGACAAGTTTGTCCTTGGAAATAAGCCCGAAAAGGTCATGGCTGCTTGAGACTTTTTTTTGCTGGGTCTACTCCTGGCAGACATGTCTATCACATTTCATATTGCTTATATGAAACTGGTTTCAGGGGAGTAATTTTTCCTCCAAAATTGAGGGATTGCAACAAGTTCCCCACCTGAAAGGACCTCCAAAATGACACTTAGAAAGATTCTTTGTCTGTTCACAATCACAATGGCTTCCTCAGAATTTTTTTTTTTTTTTTTGCGAACCGAATCATGATAGACATAACGACCACATTTCATGTTCCTGAAGGAAATGGGATACAGGGACTCATAGTTTAAACATTTATGGGGTTCACCATAGAACCATTGGTCTCGTAATACCGTACATGCTTCAGATTTTTTAGCAACTGGACAAACTCTCTAAGAGTACCCTTGGAAATGTACAAAATGAGCCCACATGGCTGCTCAGCAAATATTCAGTCATAAACTCATATTTGAATGAAAGAAGCGAATGGAGTTTTCAGTAGTTACATGACTGAGACCTGAATAGAAAAAAAAAGTGCAGACTTTAAGGCACTCGTACAAATGGCTTCACTTTAACGCACTGCTGGCATCTGGAATTTACGCCTTCTTCTTGCACTCGACGGAGCAGAAGAGCCGTCCTTGCACCGCCATGAAGCGCTGGCCCATCAGAACCTTGGCGCAGCCGGAGCACTTGAAGCACTGCGGGGCCGCGTGCCAGTGGTGCTCGCCGTACGACACGCGCTGAGCCTCGGGCTCCACCGCCTGACCGCAGCCCGAACATTTCTGCGGACGTCAAAGACAGAATGTAGTTGCTCTCATTGCTCATTAAAAACAAGACTGAAGTTTTATTCCTAACAGTAAATTTCATGTGCGGTTGAAATTCATAAACTGTAGTTGAAACGTTTTGCCCATAATTTAAATACTGTACAAATTGTTAAGAAATGACGTGATTGACCACAGCGCATTTGTTGACAAAGCAAGCAGTACCGTATTTTCCACACTAAAAGGCACACTGGATTATGAGGCGCACCTTCAATGAATGGCCTATTTTGTAATTTTTCTCATACATTGGGCGCACCGCGTTATAAGACTCAATCCACAATGCATCCACTAGATCAGCGGTCCCCAACCGCCGGTCCGCGGACCGGTACCGGTCCGCAGGGCATTTGGTACCGGGCCGCACAGAAATAACTTGCCTTATTTCCGTTTTATTTATTTCGGAATACGAAAGATGTTTTATTTTGAAAAATTACCGGATTCTCTGTTACATCCGTCTGTGTCACGCTTGACTCACGTCAAACTACACTTCTCGGTCACGTGACCGACGACGCTCAAAAACAAAATGCTGAAGCCCGCAAAATGAGTAAAAAAGCTGCTTGGAGATCGCAAATGACGGCGGCCTTAAAAGTTACGTTCGAAACAACTGGATCAAAGTTATGTCTGAATACTCTGAGATCGCCACAATAGCACTGTTGCTATTTCCGACATCCTACCTGTGTGAGGCGGGGGGTTTCTGCAGCAACGGCGACGAAAACAAAATTACGAAGTAGACTGGAATATAAACCACACACTTGAGGTGTCATTGTCTCCTATTACTCCGAGATGGGACTGTCTGATTGCAGAAAATCAAGCTCGGGGCTGTGGTGAGTCGTCATTTTCATGCACTTTGAATTTGCGTTGTATCGTATTTTGAAGGCATTAAACATTACCAGAGCGATAAGAGTGTTGACCAGATTAGACGCTCCTTGTGTTTATTATTATATTTCGAAAACACCACAGTTTTCATGCAGCTCATACCATATTATTTTGTTGTATTAATCCGCCACACCTTAAATGCCGGTCCCTGAAAATATTGTCTGACTTAAACCGGTCCGTGGGGCAAAAAAGGTTGGGGACCCCTGCACTAGATGGAGCTACGCTCAAGGAAACACCAACAGAACGATCAGATGTCAGTAAAACTTATTTAAGAAAGCAGCGACACAGTTCACGTAACCAACAGCAAGTTCTAACATTGACTCGTTAACGTTGAACTCTCTTGCCGCTGCTCTATTTCCGTGTTCAACTGCCAAACCGATCGCCTTAAGTTTGAACTCTGCGTTGTCAGCATGTCTCGAGCAAGGAGCCATTTTGGGGGTCGAAATATTACCGTAATGACCGTACACAAGGCGCATCGGATTTTTAGGCGCGCTGTGAGCTTTTAAGAAAACGGAAGGCTTTTAGGTGCGCCTTTCAATGCGGAAAATACGGTCGTTAGTTTAAAACGTGTGGCTAAAAGCGCAGTGTCTTTCTTACCACAGCGTAGTTGTTCATATAGCAGGCCGTGCAGACGGGCTTGTCCTGCTCCATCACGTACGTCTCTCCGGCCAAGACCAGGTCGCAGTCGAAGCAGCAGAAATGCTTCAGGTGCCAGTTGTGGCCCTCGGCCTGCGTGTACTCGTTACTGAAGATCAGCTGCGCAGGCACAAAACCACTCAATTAGCAAAAACTCATCGTCAGAGAAAGCTGGAGGCTGTCACCCCTGCCCAATTTCTGGACACCTTTTTTCTCACTTCATTCGAGGAAGTGTTTTATGAACTAGAAGCAAAATTCAAAATACCAAAGAAACAAAGGGGGGGGGGCAGTCAGCCAAGTGAATATCCCACACAATATCCGAATTAAGAAAAATAAAAATGTTCGAGAGCAGTAAAATGACTGATGCTTGACAGAAAAAGTGTGAAGGCTCCCACCTCTGCCTCCATTTGAGCATTGCCGATCGATCGATCTCACCTCATCGCACCCGGCGCAACGCGGCTTCTCGCTGTCGCCATAGTGACGTCCGCAGTAGAGTTTTCCGCGCTTCCAGAAGTAGATCATGTCCACCAGCAGCTCGTCGCAGGTGCAGCACACGAAGCAGGCCGGGTGCCACAGCTTGTCGTAACCGGCCCGCTCGGCGTACACGGCCGGGTCGCCAACGCGCATCGGCTGATTGCAGCGGCGGCACGACTGCGGGGAGGGGGATGATGTTTTTTTTTCTTTTCTTTCTTTCATTTTCATATACAAGCAACAGGTTGCGCTAACATTCCTAACTGGAAGCAAACCTGGAGAAAGTCCTTTCCAGAAACGGTTATGGCTCTTTCTACTTTTTCGCCCATTATTGTTGACCTATGCCACAGTTAGCACAAGGACTACGGCCCAAAATGCATCGAAAAAGGTCTTACACTTGTTTGTTAAATGCGAGGAAATTGTCGCATAATTGTCGCTGAAAGATTAGCTGCGGCGGCGTGTTGCGTTCATTGTTGCGCCGTGAACAAACACCCCCCCCCCACTCTTTGCCAAAGCAGCACACAATGCGCCGCACGCACACAACAGCCAAACATCCGTCACAGAGTCACAACGGAACACTTTGATGTGACATTTGCGACTGGCCGCACCGTTTTTTTTTTTTTTTACTGCCCGCCACATATTGTTCTAATAATACCATTCAACACGACCCACATCAAAAAGTTCCAAAAATTGTTTACGGACTCAATATCACACTTTTAGATTTAGTGAGTACCTACAAAAAGTGTGACCACAAGCTTCGCTATTTCATCCACACCTACATATGAAATTATAATCCGGATTTAGTATTGTTGTAAAACACATACAAATCTATCCGTGTGACCTCTTTCTTTGCAAATATCCTATTTTATAATGTGGTGACCCGCAGGTCAATAGCGGTCAAAACTGTAAATGTACGTATTTGTTGTTATGTCTAAATTACGCTGCTGAGGCATTTAATCAGGTGCGCCTCATAGTCCAGAAATGACGCAATGTTCCAGGTAGCTACAACACTTGCATCACCCCGTCTGCTGTTGTAAAAATGATCATACGTGATGGAGTGCCGGTGTCTTCGATGACGAGTAATATTTCAGCAGACTCTGACATGGCGTCGCTGCGCAGTCTTGCGTAAGAGATAAATATGAATAAATAGGAACATGAAAGGAAAAGTCCTTACGAAGCTTTGCTGCGTGGCTCCTGGGGCGGCCATGGCTCCAGCAGTAGCCGCGGTACCCACGGCGCCTCCAGCGGACACGGGGCCAGCCCCTCCAGCTCCAGTGGCCCCCTTGAGACCCACTGCTCCTGGTCCCGCTGCTTTAGCGCCTCCGGCACCGCCTGGCTCACCTTGACCCGTCTCCGCAGCCTTCAGCAGAACCATCTCCTCGGGCAGCCTCACGTCGCCGACACCCAGAGCCTCGTCCTTGTACTTGCGCACAAACTGCTGCATCTTTTTGACTTCGGCCGGGCTCAGCTCGTGGCACTTGGCCGGGTCCTGGTCGTGCTCGGGCAGCTGGCGGGCCATCTGTTGGCGGCGGTAGGCGGCGCCTTCTGTGCCCGCCACGGGCCGCTTCTCGGGCGGGAGTAGCTCGATGTAGCGCACCGCCTGCGAGGAAAGGAAGAAAAACACAGACCAATCATGGAAGCGGGAAGGGAAAATATTTGAGAGTAAGATATGACCGGAGACCAAACAACTAGCACAGCACATTCAGACCTCTGTGAAAATCAAAACAGAACAAAAACTCTTAACGCCCACCCCCAAATAATAAATCATAGTTTCTGAGGATTTTAAAAAATCCATCTTTAAAATGGCTGTCATGAAACAAAATGTGGAAATTATGTTGTGATACACTCTACTACAGTATAGATTGTATAGTCATTGAAATTGTACTCAGGGTTAAACAGAAGGTGGCATCTGCGCTTAAAGCAACAAAATCAAAGGAAAATAAAGAGAAAATGTGAAATGCCCCTTTAAGTCTTAAATCTGCTTTTTAATGTTCCAAAATAAATGGCGTGTCAACATTTTTGAGGCCCACTATAGCAATCTACTTCACGTTTCTTGCTCAATAAATTTGTCCTTTTGATTGTGGCACTCACCTAATCTGTCCTTTAATATAAATGACACAATTTAGAATTGGCGATGCCTAACTTCTGATTTCAAACTCCATTTCTTTTTAGAAATACGTAAAACCACAATGAAACGCTGGGGCAATGGGATTTCCACATTTTAAGGGATTAAGGGCCCTCTGAGGGAAACTCTAATTACAATGTTGCCCGCAAAGAAATTGAGTTTGACAGTTGACGCCACCTCGTTTTAATGTTGTAATCATTTGTAACGACATTGCGTACTCCATTTGGCTTATACAGTCAGAGGGATTTTGTTGTTATTTCTGACTGAACTTTGGCGTCCTCTAGTGTTTACTGGCGATGACTCCCAACGTGAAAAAAAAAAAATGCAAGTCTAAGACAACTTATCCAACCATCCATCCATTTTCCGCTCTGCTTTATCCTCACATGGGTCGCGGGGGATGCTCGAGCCTAACCCAGCGGTCTTCGGGGAGTAGCCAGGGGGGACACCCTGAACCGGTCGCAGGGCACACAGAGACAAACAACCATCCACGCTCACACGCACACCTAGGGACAATTTGGAGTGTTCAATCAGCCTGCCATGCATGTTTTTGGAATGTGGGAGGAAACTGGAGTATCCGGAGAAAACCCACGCAGGACAGTGCAGAACATGCAAACTCCACGCAGGGAGGCCGGAGCTGGAATTGAACCCACGACCTCTGCACTGTGAGGTCAACGTGCTAACCACTGGACCACCGGGTCGCCTAGTGAGATTATATATACTGTATATATTTTTATGCCCATCCCGCCAGCGCACACATAAGCAAACTTACCACATATTTGTTCGCCACCGGGGGCGCCCACTCATACGTGACAGACTGAAGAGGCGTTTCTTTGTTGACCGGCACCACGTTGGCAGGCGTGGAACTGATGGAAACGCTCGCTGTGTTCGCCTTGACGGGGGCAACTCCAGCCGGCCGGGCTTGGGCGCCGCCGGATGGCGTAATTGCTGAGGCTGCCGGTAAGCCACCGGATGCGGTACCTCCTGTGGCTGTAGCAGGCGGGACGGAACTTGGAGCGCCAGTAGTGGTGTGAGGTACGGCTGCGGTGGCGGAGGCGGGTAACACGGTGTGGGCGGTGCCCGGTAACACTATTTGGGCAGTGGCGGGGCCGCCCAGCGTGATGGTGACGGCGTTGCCGCGGTACACGGGGACACCGTCCGTCTTCAGCTTGGCAATGAGGCCGGTGTACTTGGTGTCCTCGAAGAGCTTCCCCACCTGCAGGGACATTCCAAAAAACGCAAACAAACAAAAGAAAAAAAAAAGAATCATTCAATTCATTAAAATGTGTAATCTTTATTTTTTAAAGATTGACACATAATAATGGGTAATTAAATCGATTTTGAAACATCTAAGGAAAAGAAAAAATAAAATTAATGTATGTAAAAAAAAAAAAAAGATTCAACATTTTTTGAATTGAAAAAAATTAAAGGATTCATTGAAATAGTTTATTAAAAATGTGAAAAACAAACAAACCGAAACTCATTGTAAAAAAAACTAAATTTATTGTGAACAAAATAAAAACAAATGAGTCCTTTTTTTTAAAACATGAAAAAAGATAAATAAAATGTGAAAAAATAAAAAGAACCAAATAAACATTCTTGAAAATGTTAAATAAATGAAGAAAAATGATGCGGGGTTCAAAAATTAATCAACTCACTTTTTAATAGTGGGGAACAAAATCTAATCAATAGTGAAATTGTGTTACATACAGTTTGATTATTATTAAAAAAGACGTTTTTCAAATGATGGATGAACCTTTTTTTAATGTGGAAAATAAAAATTATCAAACACGTTCTTGAATGTGAATTAAAAAATTAATAAAATGATTAGTTAGACCAATTTTTTTCAATGTAAAAAAAAAATTGACTAATGATAATCAAACCCATAAAATGTCCGTGTGTGTGTGCGTGTGTGTAAAAAAAAAAAAAAAAAAAAAAAAAAGAAGAAGAAGAAGAAAAAGTATCTCGGATAGAGGCAGAAATTTTTGAGCTCCTGACCTTTTTGTTCTCCTCTGTGTTCATCTGCACATTGTGCTCCGCGAGCCCACACTTGCAGTTACGACAGATTTTTCTGCAACAGACAACCATGGGCCAAGAACCCATTAATATGCGTGTCTTACACATCCAGACAGTTTGACGTTCAACATGCACACCAGTCGGACAATTTGGCAACATCAAAACTTATGAGCACAATCGTTTCGGACTGCCATGACGTGTCCATGTGGCTTCATATGTTCATAATTACAGTTGAAGAGAGATCTTCCGAAGACGTGTACGTCAGCGTTCACTCCACCATTGAGCCAACGCCAGATTCCTGACATGTTAAAGAGTCTCTCTGTTGTGACATCAGTCAAGTGTTGCTAATTAAGTCTCAGAGCCGCCGATCCCGGTCCAAACCCACACGCTGGGAATTTGCCGGAATCAAGCAGTGAGTCATTGTGTGAGTCCATGTGTTGGGTCCAACAAAGCTTTCTGTTCAGTGCTCGAGTCACTCAGGCATCAATAGAAAGATCCGCTGCCTCCACAAATAAAAACATGGCTGCAGAAAGTAGGACCGTGGTTGACGATGACGAATGATAAACGAGGTCAACCTTGATGAAGGTCTCACCTCCAGAAATGAAGCTCGAAGCCTTCACATTTGTCTTTACACTTGAGGCAGGCGGCGCCCGCGCCAAACTCGTGTCCCAGCGTCATCTGAAACACAGACATTACATGAAGAAGACACTTCATTAGGTACACAACCCCATGCAACATCCTTTCGCGTCCATGTATGGTCACTGAGTGAGTCAGTGACCCAGGGTGGTTCCCCAAAAATGCTGACTCAGGAAGCCTCCGATTGTGTCACTTCTTCCTGTGCACACTCACACTCACGTTAGTTCAAGGAATTGCTGTCCAATCAAAACCGAGGTGTGCCTAATGTTGTGGCCAGTGCTCATGTCATTGAAAGTTTAAATGTTCACCCAAAGTATACAAATTACTAAACACATTTTAAGAAACATGGAAAAATAAAAACTCATGTGAAAAAAATTTGGAATGAAAATAACTTTAGCTCATTTCCAAGAATTTGAAAAATACAAATAATGAATGAAACAATTTTATTTAATGTGAAAAACTAAAATGGACTAATTAAAGTGATTACACAGAAATGATAAAAAAGCCAATCAAAAATGATTAAAATGATAATGCATATGAAACCCATTATAAAAAATGTGCCCAAAAAATGATTAAACATTTTTTGTCATGAAGAAATAAAAATGACAAACTGAATTTTAAACAATGTCGAAGAAATTGCAATAAAATGATTTTTTTTAACCCCATTTTAAAGGATGGGGGGAAAATGAAAAGAACATTTTAAGTACATATGTCTATCATATCGCTGAGTACTGATTCTTTACATTCCCATTATTTCCTATGCAGCCTTTTTTTGGAACTATTAATGTGGTGTATTTCCAATTTTATGAGTTGTACTGAATTTTTAATTGTGACTGAAAACATCACCTGTATGTTTACTCACGGTTCTACTTCTATTATTTCCTTTGGGATTTTGGAATGTCCACTAAAAAAAAAAAAAAAAAAAAGGCACAGCTCCAAAGAAACTCCAATTTCACATCTGTCAAACTTCATCAAGACGTTTGCAAGGGTGACTTGCTTGATTTTGGGTGCAGAAGTGCAGAAGTTTCTATGAATTTAAATTGTTTATCTCAACCAGGGATTAAAATTAGACGCCTTAGCATGCCTGTCTGGGTCATCTGGCAGCTCAACAAAACATCACTTAATGCGTCTGTGAACACACAAACAAAAGACGGCCTCAAAATGGGACTCGTTGCTCACACACTTCTTGGTTGGTTGTTTTTTTTTCCCTTTAGCATTATCAAAAAAAGATGTGTCCCCACAACTGTTTCTCCATTAAGAACCACAAAAACTTTAATTACAGTCTAGTAAAAGGCATGTGTCTCTATCTACATCCCATAATGGACATCTAAACTGATTTTAAAGTATTATTACTGTGTGTACTGTAGTACGTATATGTATGTTGGATGCGTGCCTTATGAGGCATAGCCTCGTGAGTGATGTCAGGAACTGGAGTTGGCCAGTTAGTTTGCGAGCGTCTTGGTGTAAAATTTGGACGAGAGCAGCACCTTGAAAGTGTTCTCACTTTGTTTTGTGGGTTTGGCAATTTTTCCCCATCAATAAGTACAAAATGAAAACGCTCACATGGATCTGCTGTATACCACAGCTCACACCCAGACGTTCGCAAACAGACACTAGAAAATCCCACTCCAGCTCCCGAAGTCAGTAACAAGACCACGCTTCTTAATGGCCAACACAAATTCTCAAGTTTGTACATTTACACTTCACAAAACTAGATTGTCTTTACATTCTGTTTAGTGCTGTTTTATATATATATATATATATATATGCACAATACAGTGCTATTTTGTTTTCTCTTGGATGTGGTGTCTGCTAAGAGCCGTTTTGACGTTAATTCACTGTAAACTGAAGCTGAATCTTGAATAATCATAATGTCAAAACTAACAATCATGGTTATGACAGAATGACTAAGGCAGTTTGATCAAAGGTGTCAAACGAACTAGTTTCAACAACTTCTGGGCGTTTGTCTTTGGCGGACAGTGACGACCACCTGCACTATGTCCGCCTCTCGCACCTTAGCAGGGCGTTAACTCACCTTCTTCACTTCCTTCTCGATCTCCATGTTCGCTTCTCGTGGCTCTTTGGCTCTTAAAAACACAGCAACTGAACCGAGTGGACGCCGCCGGAAAAATTGTCAGCAGTTACCCGCAAAAAAGAGATGACGAGACGGACCTGAGACGACAAACCGGCAGGTTTTCACCCCACTTTCGGTTCTGGAAACCAGCCCACTACGCAGCAGCGTCAAGTTACTATCGCAGCTAAAATCGGTATTTCCGGTGTTGAGAAGATAACATATTTTTACGACGAGTGGTTTCATCGTTTTTTTTGTTTTTAAATGTTACATTACATACTAGATTAATAAAGACTGTTATGAATAATCACACAATTCATGATTACCCGGCTGCCATCATTTTCTTCATTGCGAGAGTCCTATCATTTTATTTTGAAATTAAACATGTCGTACTCATTATTCCTCACGCGAATTTGATGTGTGTTTGACGCTGCGGGTCCCGTTCACTTTCAAGTCGGTCCCGAGCTGTGCTGACAGATGTTCCTGTCAGGCCAATAGAAACAAGGCGTACAAACCCCGAGGCCATGAAATCAGCCAATCGACGGTCAGAGAAGGCGGGGCCTCATACCGACAAAGGATTGGGGCAAATTTGCCATTTGAACTTTCAAAAATACTCAATCCGTTTATCAAAATGTGATTTTTATGTGTTTATTGTGTTATGAAGAACACATATAAGGACATATATTACTACCAGAGTAATCGTTGTGATGTTACATGTCTGGAAACAGTGTGGTTTCCTGCAAGAACTTGTTCATGTTGCCACACCCTGAAAAGGCTATTAATCAGTGAACTGTCAAGTCTTGCTCGCATTGCGGCACACTGATATTGTGTTGCAAATTTCAGCATATTATAGTAGCGCACTGACTATATAAATGCGTTATTTCTAAGTCTACTAACCCAACTTCGTCAGGATGTCATTTTTTTAACATATAAAACTGTTGCATAAAGACTCCAGTATATTAAAACAAGGCTAAAGTTTAGCCTTGACTGCACAAATTAAACCACATAGTAAAATAAAAAGCAAAATAAATCCACGTAAATATCTGCTAAAATTATTTTTTATGATTTTATTCATTTATTTATTTATGGATGGATGGATGGATGGATGGATGGATGGATGGATGGATGGATTCACAAAACATGGTGCATTGCATCATATTGACAGCTGCTTCGAATAAAACAGCATAAGATGAATAAAATATCACAAACTTACAAAGATAAAAATGAAATCACCTTTGCTCTTGATTTTTAAAAAACAAATAAAAACACATATATTCTGTACATACATACATCATACATACATACTTTACATATGCACACACACGTACAACATGCAAACGTTATAGCACATACAGTAAATACAAATAAACACCAAAAGGAATTTTTCCCAATAAATACAAGTGAACAAAACCAAAAAAAAACATTTGTCTTCATGTTGCAGATTTCTTTCTTTGTAATAAAACAAGCACATTCTTCTATTAAGTCATCTGTTGACAGTGTCATTTGAAATTCATTTCCAGCCAACCATTTTCCAGCCCGTTTTAGCCCACATTTATACAAAACTCTTGGGAATGCAGCAGTTTTTATTCTTCCATGTCGCCTTGGATCAGGTGCTCTGTACATTTTTGCAACTGAGTGTGCATGCAGCAGTCTATACGAGTTCAAGTATAAAAAGGGATGTTCTGTGAAAACGCTGCCTCACTGTGACAAAACGACACAGAATAGGACACTTCATCTTCAGTGAGCAGGTACACGCTGGCATCAAGGTCTATGTGTGTGTTTGTGTGTATGTGTGTGTGTGTGGGGGTGTGAGACCTTTGCAGATGGTTTTAACACCTGCATGACTTTCCTTTGCTATCAGTCGCCTTACATAAAGCAAAGCTACAACTTGTGAGCAGCGCTAAAGGTCGTTTCTCTTAAAGTAAAATGAATGTTGCAGTGCGTTCAAAGAATGTCCAATATTTTGGACATTCCCAGCAGAAGAATTGTGTGTGTGTGTGTATGTGTTACATTTGCTGTCAGAGGAGCACATATTCATTCACATCAATATGCTGATTAGTATTATTTGTTGAGGTTTTTAATTAGCTACAGTGTGAAGTCACAAAAGAGGAAGATGTAACTGTCGACGTCTTCTTCCTGGTGTCTTGTGAGAACCCGTCTGTTCATTTGCTTACTTGATTTGAAAAAAAAGAGAGGAAAAAAAACATTGTATGCATGGTCTTTCTGGATGTTTACAGAAATTGTTGATGGCAGTCATTAAATTCAAATCAACAAAATTATGCTGTTGACAATAGTAGCCATTCTTTGAAAAGATATTACAATAGCAAGTTGTGAAGACTGACACCAAACTTTATTAGGTACATAATCCACACTGTAATGTGAATTTATTCATTTGCATTGTTTTTCGACTGCTATTCTTCCCAAGTGTAATAACTGCCACCTCTCGAATATCATTTTATCTTTTGTCATTTTTTTGTCTTAATTAATTTGATCATTTTCTACAATACTTATTTCGTGTGTGTGTGTGTGTGTGTGTGTGTGTGTGTGTGTGTGTGTGTGTGAATCATAGCAGCTGCCGACACACCTCCCTGCCCTTGAGCAAGGTGAGGTTGACCCGCCCCCAGTGGGTCCATAAAGAGACGAGCGAGGGGTATCGGGCTGGATTCTTGAATTCTGTCACGATGAGGGTCTTGCTCGTTTTGGCCGCGGCGCTCATTGCCGCGCTGGGCAAGGAGACGTTTGAGGGGTGAGTTGATGGCCATCTATCGAGAACACACACTTACAAATCATCCAAATGATACACCTTTTAGTGTCCCTAGGTTGAATTGTACACTAATGGGACAAAAATAATATTTTCCGACCACATTACGTATAATGAGCGGGGCGGCACAGTGATCAACTGCTTAACATGACCGCCTGGCAGTGCAGAAGTCATAGGTTCGATTACGGACCCCGTGTTGTGTTCAAAGACATCAGGTTCTCCGCATGGTGGCAAAGGATGAAGCACAGTTGTCACTTCTGAAGCAAATGGAGGACTTGGAGGAGGAGTATGAGGTGAGACGGAATCCTCTGGTGGCAATATGATATAAAACCCACACACTTTCGATCAATATTGTATGGCTAATCTCGCGTGTGTGGACGTGTGTGTATCTGCACTTGTCAGCTGGACTTCTGGATGGAGGCGAGCAACGTGGATGCTCACGTGGACGTCAGAGTTCCCCTCGGGAGTCTGGAGGCCGTCAAACTTTTCCTGGAGAGCAATGACATTGAATACTCCGTCATGATTGAGGATCTGCAGGTCAAAATACCCTTTCCTTTATTTGGTTGGTTTTAGTCGATTGATTTTTTTGGCCCTTCATTTAACTGCGTGTTGTTTGTCCAGTCTTTCCCTCGTTTTGTGATGTTTTTTTTTTTTGTGCGCTGGTTAAGCATTCTTCGATTGGTTTGTTTCTTGTTATGTTAGTTAGGCTAATTAGTTTATATTTTTTTCATTTTGCTGATAGTATTAATACGTTATTTGTGAGTGTTTTTTATGTTCGTTTGTGAGTTAGTTTTAGTGGGTTATTTTGTTAGTTGTTCATTCATCCCTTTGATGTAGGCTATTTGTTCTTTGCTTTAGTTGCTAATTTATTAAGTAAGTGTTAGTGAGCTGGTTTATTTGTTCATTTATTCCTTTGATAGTTTTATTTTTAATCACTAGTTTGTTTATTTGTTTTTTCTGATATTCATAAGTTGTCTGAAAAATTTGTTAATCGTTTGTTATTTTGTCAGTCCACTTGCATTGGGGCCACACGGGGCAGTAACGCACTGAATTCAGCAGCAGATGGTGCTATGGTGGAAAAAAAAAGCTTACTGTGTGTGGCAACTGGTCTACACCGAGTAGGAATTGACAAGCAAGTTGTTTGTCCTCAGATGATCTTGGATGAGGAGCAGGAGGAGATGGACGCCTTCACCCGTGATGCCGAGCCCAGAAACACCGATAGCTTCGACTTCTCCAGATACCACGGCATTAACGAGGTGCCGCCACCCTTCACTTGCTCATGACTAATTGCTGATTGCTGTCTTCACCTTGTCGACGTGGTACTTTTAGCTGTACAGGTTCCAGGACATGCTGGTGGCCGAGAATCCCAATCTGGTCAGCAAACTAGTGATTGGTCAAAGCTACGAGCGCCGTCCGCTCAACGTGCTCAAGGTAACCATGCTAGACAAGCCAACATGCTGTAATATGCATGAAAACCGCAATGTTTAGTCTTCGTATTAGTTTGTTCGTTTGACATTTGATTGACTACATTTGTTGTTTTTGTACGTCCATTAGTTAGTTAAGTTAGCTAGCTAGTTAAATTATCTATGTTGGTCCATTAGGCAGTCTGTCAGTCAGTCGGTCAGTTACCGTACTTATTTAGTGATACTGAAGAACGACAGTGTATTTTTGTTCAGTTTTAGTTAGTTAGTCAGCTAATTAACTAGTTAACTAATTAGCTACTTAGTTAGTTAGTTGGTTAGTTAGTTAGTTTGCTTGATCTATTTTTCCTCCTGTTTTTGTTTACTGGTTAGTTAGTCAGTCAGTCATTCAGTCAGTTGAATGGTTGTTTGGTCACCCAGTCAGTCAGAGCTTGAGTTAGTCAGGTTGGGTGGTCAGTTGGTCAGTTTATTAGTTTGACTGGTGGACTCTTTTGCTTCTGTTTTGGTCCATTCGTTGGTTCGTCAGTTAGTTAGCTGTACACTTGATTTTGCTATGATTCATTGGTTAATTATTTCATCAGTCAGCCAGATATCTGTTTGTTTGTTATGTACTTATTTTGCCTGATGGACTCTTGGTTGTGTTTTTGTACATTACTTAGTTAGGGTGGCTGTCTTTTGGTTAATTAGTTGGGTATTTTTTTTTTCTTGTCTGTTCTGCCATTCAATCTTTGTTCATTTCAATGTTAATTACTTATTTGTTCACTCCATTCATTGGTCTTATTTTTGTACGCCCATTAGTTGTTTGTTTGCTCTTTTCATTGGCAGCTATTCTTCTTTTATGAGCAATATTTTTGTTTTGTCCAGCTACATTAGCTCATTGGTATGATGTGAGCAGAAAATCCTTATCCTGAAGACATTCTAAATGAAGAATCATTTCTTTTTTTTTTTTTTGATTTGCAGTTCAGCACTGGTGGAAGCAAGCGTCCTGCCATCTGGATAGACACGGGCATCCATTCTCGTGAATGGGTTACCCAAGCTAGCGGTGCCTGGTTCGCCAAAAAGGTGATCCGATGATGCCCAGCTGTGAATTGATTTTAGCTGTTTCTTTCTTTTTTTTTTTTTTAAACTGAGGTGTCGTTTTTCAGATCGTCAACGACTACGGCCGGGATCCCGCTCTCACGGCCATCCTCAACAAGATGGACATCTTCCTGGAGATTGTCACCAACCCCGATGGCTACTACTACACGCACACTAGCGTGAGTCCGCACTGCAACAAAAAAACTTCATCAATATTACTAATGACCCTCTCGACTATTTTCAATGTCGGGTTCAATTATTCCAGAACCGTATGTGGCGTAAGACCAGAAAGCCCAATCCTGGTACTTCCTGCGTGGGAGTCGATCCCAACAGGAACTGGGATGCTGGTTTTGGAGGTAATGTTGCTGAGAAAACAACGTAGCCATCTGATAACAGCTTGTATGCTGTTATGATTTCTCAGTGCTTAGTCGGTCAGTTTTTTCTTCCTTCATTAGTTTAACATAACGCTGCTTTCTTACAACCTCCCATCAATTTTTATGACATGGTGTTAGTTGTTGGCACCGACGTTATAATTGAACAAGCTAGCTAACTAATGAAGTTAGCTCACTAATGAAGTTAATTGATCGTTCCTCTTTCAGTTAGTAGGCTACATTCGTTGTTTGTTTTCCTCCTTAGTCAATATGTTAGTTGTTGCTTTATTGTCCATGTTAGTCCCTTCGATAGTTACTGTAGGCAGTTGTCATTTCTTCATTCCTTTGTTGGTGAGGAAATTTGTTATTTATTTATTTGTTAGCTAGTCAGTTTTTTGTTCTTTTTTTTAGGGATGAACAAGTGACAAATCTTCTTCATGGGGTAATTAGTTGTTTGTTCTAATGTTAGTTTCTGTTTCTTTCACTGCTCGTTAGTTGTTCCTTGATTAGTTTGATACTTTTATGTTCGGTAGTTACTTGTTTGCAGTATTTTTTAGTGTACTCACGCCACTGTAGTAGTATAGGCTCATGCCTTACAAGCAGACGGTGCTTATTATTTATTTTATCGTTGGTTACTCAATTGTTCCTTTTATCGTCATTTTTCTGTTCCTTCCATTGTTATTTGTTAATCAGTCAGTTAGACACTTGTTTTTTTTTTTAATCATTAGTTGATAAGTGAGCTACTTAGTTTCACTTAGTCCCGATAACTTCACCGTCCTTTTGTATGAGTCACCGGTACATCCCTCAATTAATCGAATCTTCTCCTCACAAGGGTCACTGGGTGTGCTGGATCCTATCCCAGCTGTTTCCGGGCAGTAGTCAGGGCACACCCTGAACTGGTTGCTAGCCAATCGCAGTAAAGCGGTAATACACTTCTTTATTGTTTCTCAGGCCCCGGTGCGAGTGGCAGTCCATGCTCGGAAACGTACCGGGGCCCGCGGGCGCACTCCGAGTCGGAGGTCAGCTCCATCGTGAACTTCGTCAAGTCTCACGGCAACATCAAGTCCTTCGTGTCCATCCACTCGTACTCGCAGATGCTGCTCTACCCTTACGGATACACCAGGACACCCGTCAAGAACCAGGCTGAGTTGGTAGGCCATCAACTCAAATGTATAATGATGCTGTATTACACTCTCTATTAATTATATTTGCATTTGTGCAGCACACTTTGGCCCAAAAGGCCATCGCTGCTCTGGCCTCTCTCTACCGTACTCGCTACCGATACGGAAGCATCATCAATACCATCTGTGAGTTCTTTTTCTCATTGGACCTGTACAATTCCATTCAATATGTCCAGACAGCAACAAACTTTGAGCAGTCAAGACCCTCGCAATATTTGATTTCAAGTCCATGCTGACCCTTTCATTCTGTCCCGGGTTACAGACCAGGCCAGCGGTGGAACCATCGACTGGACGTACAATCAGGGGATCAAGTACTCGTTCACCTTTGAGCTCCGCGACACGGGACGCTACGGCTTCATGCTGCCCGCCAGCCAGATTATCCCCACTGCCAGGGAGACATGGCTGGCTCTCATGGCCATCATGGACCACACCTCCAAGAATCTCTACTAAGGAACACACCGCCCTCTATAGGAAGTGGAAAGTAATAATAAAGCAACAGTCAGGAAAAACGCAAATTCCTGTCGTTTTTTTTCCCCCTACTTTTGTCAAATAAAAATGCAAAAAAAGATGTAAAATTTAACTTTTTGTACAACTTACTACTCGATGAAAAATACAATTAAAAAACAAAAAGTACAGTAAAACGACCAGGAACACAATTCAAAAACACATTTTAAAAACTACCCTATGAAGTCAAACACTAGATTTTTTTAAAGTCAAGTAATTTCAGAAAATAATGGAAAAAGGAAAATAGCATCCAATACAATTCCAAAATAATCCAAAAATGAAATCTTTTAATACAAGAGAAGAATCAAATTAAAAACACCAACCATAACTACAATTTTTATAAAAATCCATGAGACAATTCAATCAGAAAGAAAAAACAAAATAAAATAAAATTTGACAAAGTCTTCATAATTTAAAAAAAGTTTTTAGTTTTGACGATATGAAAAAACAAATTAAAAACACCAACCATAACTACAATTTTTATCAAAATCCATGAGACAATTCATTCAGAAAGAAAAAGTAAAATAAAATACAATTTGACAAAGTCTTCATAATTTAAAAAAAAGTTTTTAGTTTTGACGATATGAAAGAATACTGACCAACAGTTGTACAACCAGTGTACAATGACAACCTCAAAACACCCATAATATTATATGAATAGTATTCATAACCATTTATTACTTCAATTTAGCTGCTGACATATTTACCTGGAAAGATTTCGGGAAATAAGAAAACAGCCACAGAAGAATTGCAGCAAACACATTTTATTTAAAGGTCACTTAGAAGAAAAAAAAAAAGTCACTTCTGGTCAGATAACCTAGAGCGGCACTCACAATGCACATTCACATACATGCACCCACACGCGCGCACACACCCACACACATTTGAGTTTACGATGATCATGAAGATGTATTGTGATGAAATTCACAAAAATGCAGCATTCAATGTGCCTTTTGCTTTACACGTTAAATATGAATAAAAATTCGAAAAAAAAATGACCATGATCCACTGACCCTTCATTGGAGTGTAAAAAGACACTCCTGTGCAAACACATTCAAATGTTAGGCAAAGGAGGGGATACGACTACAGAGGAGCACCAAGAAGGCGGTGTTAGTAGCGCGTTCATTTCCAAGGCCTGTGAATTCGTCCGCTGTCCCTGGAGGACACCGAAGAGGCGGAGGAAGCCAAGCGGCTGCTCCGGACGCTGCCCACTTTCGGCAAACTGCTGGATGTCGACATGCGACTGGATGCGCGACCTCAAGAACACACACATAAAAAGATGTTTAGAAGACATATTGTAATTGGTGTGAATCAAATCCCATTTGGCGAGCATCGTATTATGTGTATCGCATTCTGTGACTTGTATCATGATCGTCCTATAGCGAATCAAGATATGACACGGCACGTGTTGAGAGTTCCTTACTGCTGCCCATCATGACGAAGTTCTCCAGTTGGCCTTCGATCCTGGCAAGCTCGTCGGGGGTGAACCTCCATCTTTGGACCGCCACCTGCATGAACGGCTGCGGCGGTGGCGGCGGGACGCCCTTCTTCCACTTAGACAGCACGGTGGGGGGGAGGCAGGAGGCGGGTAGCGGGCCCGTCGTCATGCCCTCGGGGAACTTCTGAGCGATCACCTTGAGACCTGGCAGATGACAAGAGTGAGTGAAGTTGTGGCGGTGAGCTTGTCGACGAGCCGACGCCTTTTTTTCGCCTTACCGCCGCTGAGCAAGAAGAGGTTCTCGAAGCCGCGCTGGCACATGCTGGTCGCCGCCTGGCTGGCGATGCGCTCATCCTCATCATACACGATGATGATCTTACCCTCGGCGTTTTTCTACATGTGCCAGCTGTTAAAGATGAAGCCACTGATCTGTTCCGATTTACAATCATGTTTTGGAACATCTTGAAAGAAGGATACATATTCCAGCACTTCCTTGGTATAAGGGTTCATGGAGCGAGACAGCGTGGCGATGGGAAAGCTGTGAGCTGGAAGAAAGAGATTACGAAAGGATGAGGTTCTGCTCTAGATGGTGTCATCCTTGGAGCATTTCAAACTGACATAAACAATGATGACATAAATAATAATGAATAGAAGAGAACAAATTATTTTAGGACAGTGGCAACATGTTTGCTACCTTAATTTTATTGTTCAGTTGTACGGTGCACTTGTGTGCTCTGAATAAAATGCATTACGGTGATGAGGAGGAGGATGAAAGGGCGAGAGGGGGAAAGAAACCTTACCTGAGATTATGTGGCACTGATCGTAGAGTTCGCGCTCACGCACATCCAGCAACAGGTAGGGACAATCTGGATAGGGCTTTTCAGTGTCCGTGTTCACATCCTCATCGGGGGCCTTTGCTTTGTCGCCGTTCATGTTCAGCTCGCCAACGCCGTTGATGACGCTGCCAGGAAACCACACAACCATTTTTAGTTATTTATTTTGCAATGCATGAGCCCCATCGCAATCTTCTTCAAGTTTCCTTTTTTTTCTCGAAAAATATGGCACAAAAGTGGCATTGAAAAGATCTTGGGAAAATAAAGCAAGATTTTGGCAACTCCCGTGAGACTTGAGCTCACTGAGCATCTGAAGCGGGTTTGTCAAACTTACCTTAGCAATGTGGACCTCATGGTCTGGGTGTGTTCCATTCCCGCATCCTTGGGCTCCGACGTCTCCAGTGAGCCATTGACATGCCTGGCATGCGAGTCTGCTTTCGCCACCATCATGCTACCGTCACCGCTCCCGTCATCTGACAGAGACATTTAGCATATTAGCATGGTAACAACGGCTATTAAAGCACAATTGCAAGTTTTCTTTACCATGAAGGCTGTGACACAAATCATCGCTGACACATTCATTCAAGTCCGACACTGATGCCACCTGAAGTATCTGAGGTGGAAAACATGATTTATTATCAATCGTGGTTAGTGTTGTGGTAGCTTTTACACTTATTTGACAAGGTAAGAACAAGGTCATGCAGTTCAGAATCGCACCAATGTTTTTTTCCAAGATAAATACACCTTAAAAGTAAAAAACAAAAAATACATGTGTGTTGGAACATTTTTTAAGTTCAGTAATAAAAAGATAATAAAAATGTCTCACCAACTCTGCAAACGTTGTCACTTTAAAGCGCTTGAAGATTTCACCTTTGTTGAACTTGTAATCTGAAAAATAAGATATTAAACAAGTCATTTAAGTATTATTATAACATAGACCCATAATGATAAATGCTAATGCCTCACTTACGTTGTTTTATCTCCTCCAGGCGCTCCAAATACTTGGTGAGGCTAACCCCTATTTTTAAGGGGCATCACACAGATATGTCACATGCAAATTGATGCTCTATGATCTGTTAAATTAAAATATTAATTGGTGGGACCTACCCGTGTCCAGTTTAGTTTTGATGTGTTGATACTTGGCATTCTTTGGTATCTGTTTCCTCATGTACTGTAACAGTCAAGATGAGTTTATTCATTAGGGAACAATAGAAGAAGGAGAGGTTTTGCCGTTTAAACACTGTTGGTCAGCATAGCTTGCAGGTGCTCTGCGGTTGCCATGGCAACAAAACTCGAAGCTACAGTGAAGCAGCTAGCTAGCGTTGCTCTGTTTGTTTTAGCGGAACAGTCAGTGCCGTAACAGCGATATACACACAATAAACTCCACGCTTGTATCAGATACGTTGCGTAAAAGACAATTATTCTATCAAAAATTACCTGATCGCCGCCGATGCCCCTGTAGATCGACATGTTTCACCGGAGCGTCGACACCAAACGCGTTGTTTTCACGCTTTAAGTCGTTCAAAATGTTCAAATCTTAAAGACACTTTGTCACGCATGAGCGTGGTTGGCTCCCAAACCAATTATTTTTCCTTAATCAAGCTCCCTTTATTCGATGTTTTCCTCTCGTATCATATCCTAACATGCGCAGACCCGACTAATCAATCGTCTGCACACTCAACATGGCAGCGAAAATACAAGGGCTGCATCATGTAAGGCGGACGTCGGCGACACGACGAGCAGACGCGTTTATAAGGCAATGTTTTAAGGTAATTGTCTGAGCACCGGCGTGACAACGGCGTACTTTACATCATCACAATCATTACATCAATGCCGTAAGCCTCCAACTTCTGTACGTCACGCTCGCGAGAGTTGAGCGTCGACGCCGTAGGAGGGGATTCTTGTGAAAAATAGGCTGATAGACTTTATTAAAAAGTCAAATGAGTCATGTCAAACAGCATCACCTGCTCCTCACCTATCAACATAGTATTTTTAACCATTTGAAACAGGATGAAAATATACAAAATTATAGAATGGCACGTTGGGAATTAAATTCCGACTAAAAACAACAACATGGACACAAGTGTTTCAAGTCGAATTGAATCTGCAAGGTCTCTCTAGTCAGCGCGCTGATTGGATAGTGGCCAACCTATTAGGCCAATCACAGATGTTTATATAGAACCGGGACACGATAGGTCAATTTTGAGCCAATCGTCCACTTCGACTCTGCTTCTTCGTCGCCATTGGCTAAGGGGCAGAAAGACTCTGACTTCATGACTCCGTTGACGTGGGCAAAACATCATTTTCATCAGTTTTAACTCATGTCATCATTCATTCACACGTGCCAATTACCTATATGCATGTCATTTCTACAACAACGTAGCCGATATTGCTGCTTTTCTTCTACGGGTTTAACTTGTCGCTGTTTTACAATTTAGCCAGTGTTCAAACAGGGCGATTGCGCTGATTGGACAGTGTCAACCTTCTGAGCCAATTGGAGACGTCGATACTGCAGGTGGCGTGGTTGCTTAGCTGCCGGAAGACGCTTTACGTCATGGCACCGGTGACGATGGAATACTGTACATCACTTTTACACGTTTTTCGCTGGAAAACAACTCATGTCGTCATTTATTTACAAATACCAATTACCAGTATACATGTCGTTGAATGAGACTTAATCGTTTTTGACATTTTTTACACGAACGTAACGTTACCATTCTCGCTGCTGTGGTTTTAGCTTGAGCAATTAGCACCAAATAGAGGGCATTGGGAAAACACAATACACTAAACACAAGTGAACGCATTGTCTAGTTAGTAGATTGTCGATTGGAGCTAGTGGAGTTGGCCATCATTTTATCCATGCTTGACTTCTCAGGTCTAGATACTTCCCCAAAGGCGCTATGTTTGAGCATAATGGAGAAAACGTTCAAGTGAGTCAACTTTAGCATCGAATGACGAAAAAAGACCCGCAATGGCCTCTGTGCTGGTGAGTAAATGTTGTTGTTTTGGACGAATAAGACTCGGAAAAAAGTAGCTGTGTGGGCTAAGAGAAGCTGAATATGCAATGTCTGCTAAAAGGATTTGCTAAGTAGAAGTGTCAAAACACTCCCAACTTCCTGCATTTATGAGCAAACGTTTGAGCTCACGACATTAAATATAAGTGGAAAAAACATTCAAATGCGTCTCTGTTGTCAATACAGGATGACCCCAGCATGGAGAGGCTGCTCAAAGGCCACAAGAATACCGTCACCTGCGTACATTTCAGTCCAAACTCCAAATTACTCGGTAAGCAACCATCGATGTTATCATTTCACCTCGTTATAGGACTTAACGATGACTTATACAATAAGCAAATGTCAATTACATTATTTAAAAATAGTCACCATAAACTGTTTAACTGTCATCAACTTCCAACTGAAATAGTTGAAATGTAATAGAAACAAATCTTTACCGATAATGTGATGCTTTTATTGTGAGAAAAATTTCGATTATCTCAAAACATGTATTTTAACACAGTCCTTAATAACACACCGTTGAACATGTCAACAATTTAACAAGGAGATGGACGGTAGTTTCCCCACTTGTGAGATGGTCCTCGGGGCTCATGTCCTGATCTATGACATGTGTGACATGTGTAATGTTTTATGTGTTTGAACCATGTAAATAAACGTTTGAGTCCTCACTGTCCAAGGTGCTATTTACTGTAAGCAAAATGTACTTTCTTGTCACATGAAAAACAACACGAAAATGATTGAGCTGATATTGGTTTCTTAGTGAGGTTGGATAAATTGTCAAAATTGACTGTGCTTTTGTGAACTAACTCCACTCTGTTCCATGCTGTTAGTGTAAAAAGTGCACATCAGCTGAGACACACTTTGAACTACTGTCTCGAAGCCACAATAAGAAAAAATTAATATGAAAAAAAAATTTGTGAAACTTTAAATTATGAGGGGAAGTGATTCTGTGATATCCTGTGTGACAATGCCAACAAAGTTTCTGTGCTCTTTTTTTTTTCTTCAGCATCAGGTTCTGTGGATAAGAGCCTGATGATCTGGAACCTATCGGCCAAAGGGAGGTCCTTGCGGTTTGTCAACCATCAGGACACCATCACGGGAGTGCAGTTTTGCCCTGTCGGCAATCTGGTGGCGACCTCATCCAAGGACAGGATGGTGAGGCTGTGGAAGCCTTCCTTGTAAGTCGCTCAGAACCTACCATCCGGTCCATTTTAAAATTGGACCTTCCCAACCTGGCATACAAAAAAAAAGAAAAATCCACATGGATCTGCCAATTTTAGTGTTAAAAAAAATAAATAAATAAAATGCATGGAATATTACAACTGTATTTGTCCCATGTGTTGTCTTTCTTTAGCTCTCGTCAAAAGTTGTAATATTCCTAATAAAAAGTTACTCTCAACAGTAATTAATCTCTGATTTCTGTAGTCTTTCCTGATAGCTTTGGTTTTTGTGTTTCATCCAAGTAAGACCATAGCAAACAATGACTGCCATAATATTTTAAGATAATATAAAGTTAAAAAAAAAAAAAAAAGAAGACAGCTCTTGGACTGTGCTGTATTAAAATTGTGGCTTTTTTTTCAAATCATGCGTTTTGTTTCAGAAAAGGGGAGTCGACGGTGTTCAAGGCGCACACAGCGGCGGTGCGCAGCGTGGCGTTCTCCCACGACGCCATGAGGCTGGTGACGGCATCCGACGATAAATCAGTGAAGGTCTGGAGTGTCAGCCGGCGCTGCTTCATCTACTCGCTCAACCAGCACACCAACTGGGTACGCTGCGCTAGGTACGTGATCTTTCGCATAGGCGGTGTTTCCCCAACCAGGTCTACGCGACGGTACACGCACGGTATCAGATCGATTGGTAAGGTCTGGATGCTTATGTAAATTTCCTAGGGTCAATTTGTTCCTTTTCACGTTTCGAACTTTGACAGTCTTAATATAATTTTATATAATAGAACTAAGACTTACATTTTCAAATTAAATTTCCGAGGAAAAATGTTTTCACATAATAATCATTTGCAATCTTGAAACCCTTCAGTGAGTAGTTCTCAGATCGATTGGTAAGGTCTGGATGCTTAAGTAAATGGGCTACGGTCAATTTGTTCCTTTTCACCTTTCGAACTTCGACAATCTTGGTATAATTTTATAAAATAGAACCTGATGGAGCCTTTGTACCGTGTAGGTTTTCTCCGGACAGTCGCCTTGTGGTATCCTGCGGGGATGATCGCACCGTCAGGTTGTGGGACACATCCAGCAAAAACTGTATCAACTGCTTCACTGATTACCGCGGGTAAAAAAAAAAAAAATCATTTTCAGGATGTTGCCGTATTTTTTTCCGCTTTTCTTCACAATCTTCCACATTTCAGATCCGCAACCTATGTGGACTTCAATTCGAGAGGCACGTGTATCGCCTCGTCGGGGGCGGATAGCACCCTTCAAATCTGGGACATACGCACCAATAAGCTCATCCAACATTATCAAGGTAGTCAAGCAGCCGCAGAAGAAGCTCGAGGGCATTGTTGATTTTCTCTGACGTTTGCGATGTAGTCCACAGCGCTGGCGTCAACAGCTTTTCCTTCCACCCATCCGATAACTACCTGATCAGCGGCTCCAGCGACGGCACAATCAAAATCCTTGACCTGCTTGAAGGACGCCTCATCTATACGCTGCATGGACACAAGGTGCAGTACTGTATTTTATTGCATTTTTTTGGTAATTTTATTGATTTATTTATGTTGGGGGGGGGGTGAACGCAACGTTACAAGAAAGTTGCTCAACATCGTAATATTGGAGAATAAAGTGCTCAAAGTTTTTTTTTCAAATTATGGTGGTTCTTTTCAGGGTGCCGTCCTCACTGTGGCCTTTTCTAGGGCCGGAGAGCTCTTTGCTTCTGGGGGTGTCGATTCCCAGGTTGGTGGCTTTTAATACAGATACAGTACGCAAAATAGACAAAAGCATTGACAAACACATCAATATCAATATCATATCATTTTCTTTTACAAAACAGTCACACTGGCATCGAATACCAATGTTGTGATCCATACTACTATTACCTGTTGCGATACAATATTGACACACAAGCATCATATATCCATATATTATGATATGACACGCTGTCAATATAACCGGCATAGAATATCAATATTTTGATATAACATATTGTTTTCTGTTACCATACTTATCAATACTTTGCTTCAAATATTTAATTGAAAATCTCAGCTAAACTTTGTCTCCTATCACACGTTGGGTCACTCGCAAGTCGAGGTACCACTGTACTGTACTTAGTATTGTCAGTACTGTATTTTGTCTGTCAACCAGGTGATGTTATGGAAGACCAACTTTGACACCAAATCATACCGGGAGATACTGGAACAGCATAGCCGGCGGGCCACGGCAAACCCCTCACCTCACCTGACTGATATCCACCCCCGAGTGCCCCACCCTCACCAGACGCAAACACCGGACATTCAGGTGCTTTTTTTTTTTTTTTTTTTTTGCACATGACCCCCATCTCTCAATGTAAAAGAAAAAAAAAAAGGTGTTAACGTGGTGAATTGTGCGCCCTCCCAGGTCGGTCCAGGGGTGACTGACACGCAC